TTATTTACACATAAAGCGGTGTGGTATTTTATATGTTGGCCGAATCCAATAAAGTACGTTATTCGTTTCCCTTCTATGCTGATTGACACCAATTGGAAATGCCAACTGATGCCAAGTCCTTCTTTAACTGGTATTTTTATCCTCTGCCACCACCAACGGCCGCAGTGCTTCTCATAGATTTACAAAAGTTGTATTTTTTGTTAATTTTTCATAAGAGTTGTTTTTAAATAAAAATTTGTGAAACCGCTCCTGAATTTTGAAAAGTAAAACTGTCATTTTGAGTACATTCTCTTATCGGATCTCTCTTTCTTTTTTCAATATTTCGGCACTCTGATGTTGGGGAATATACTTTGAATGTACTAGCAATATAGAAGTATTACATATATGGTTTTGTTACATGCTTCCCTTTTTATTTATTATCCGGCAATGCAAAAGGCTCTATTTGAAAATTTTGAATTTTTATAGGAGGCAAAAAATTTTTTAAATCTCCATACAAAGTATTCTAAATATGCCATTAAATTCCGAATTTTTTAAGAATAAAAATAAAACTTGCATTTTAAAGTTTTGTTAATAAAACTTAATTCATTCACGTATAAGAATATTTCTTCTCTCTTAAACCAAAATACAGAAGATATTCCAGTTAAAAACTTAACTAAGAAAAACCTTTTTTTTACTTTATACCGCTATATGTGATTTGACCAATTTTTGTGGAAAAAATTAATTGCGGCTAAATAAAAAGATGATTAAAGAAAACATGAGTTTTCTATTGATCGGTATATGATATCCCATATTTAAGTAAACAAAAAAATGTTAACCCTTCACGAACGAGTGGTCTAAAGCGGTCACTTTTTAATTTATAGGTTTATTATAAAAGTTTGAATGCAGTTTTTTTAATATAAGTATGAAAGCAAAAACCATGTCACTTAATTATAAAAACCATTTATACCGTAGCAATTTTTTAGGAAATGTTGCAAATTATAATAATTCCATTTGAAAACCTGTTAACCCGAAAGTAGGGTTTGCTGTAAAAAAAATTGTAAACAGTTTCTTGTTTCCTCTTTTTCATTATGTTCTCCACTCCTATTGGCAAATAGATCAAGTATCCGTACTAAAAAAGCAAAACTCAAAACTCTTCATTTTCCACGGCCAACATTTTAAAAGCTTTTGCAAATTTAATTTTTATAGAAAAATAATAATTATTTATTTCTTATTAATCTAGAAAATAAACGATGATTGAAAAAATAATAATTAACCGTTATTTGGTTTGAAATTTTCTTGACCAAGTATCAAAGAGAAAAACTTTATTTTTTGTCAGTACGAAAAATGTCTTTGCCACAAAAATTTATCAAATTACCTGTAATACGGTGTAATAATGTAAATATGTATTTAGATCAGCAATATGCCAAGAATCAAATACTTAACAAAAATAACTATATGACATATGTACATACATATGTACATACGTACGATTTTTTAAAACATCTGCAACCATACTAAATTGGTCCGTATGAATAAAGAAATAAGCAATTGCTTTTTCTTCAAATTTCATACCTTTTACTTAAATTTTGTTTGCAAAATCGAGTAAAAGGTCTGATATATTAAGAACACGCAATTGCATATTTTTATTCATACGGCCCATTGTTCACTGGACATAAAAGAAATGCTACATACATATGTACATAAATATAGACAAATTTATAAAAACAGCGCCAAAGAGTAAATGCGTGGCAAAAAGAATAGATGAATAAAAGCAATTTCCAACGTAAAGATCAATAAAAACTTTGAAAAAACAATTAATATCTACAAAACAAATGCAAAGCATTAAATTTTACTTTATAAACTAAGTGCAATAAAAAGCTTAAGTCTTTAATTAGTAGTGTACTAGAAAAAATAAAAATAAAAATGAGTATAATATTAAAAACAAAACAATAATAACGAATAAACGTAAAATGCGTGCAAGTGCCAGCTGAGCGATAATTTATTAAAAAAATATGCATAAGTACATATGCATATATTTCGAAAATGTAGTGGGTAAAAGTAATAGTTACATTTGTGGCATTACATTTTTGTTTATACATATATACATACATACATACGAATCTTTGAAGGGTGAAGCTGAGCGAGGAGAATAAATCGAAAATAGTAAATTTACGCTACGTGCATAGGGTATCTCATAAAAATCGTATCTTATTGTTTAAACGCGCTAAACACTTCATTGAAGAATACGGAATAGCAAAAAAAGGGGTAACCAGCAACAACCAATTAATATTTTCTTATTAGAGGTGGCAATAATTGTAGTTGGTAAAACGAAATATGTTCATGCATACATTTAGAACATTTGAGCAACTTAAAGATATGAATCTATGATGTATGTATTCTTAAACATTTTAGCGAAATTTTTACCTTATACAAATTCCAAAATTAAACATTAACAAACAAAATGCGGAAAAACGAATATATACTTAAATACATATAATTCAAACTAAAATTCACACTGAAATGTACCGATAAAAGTAGTAATTTAAGGTACAGCAAAATAAATACGAAAATCGCATACCTATAAATAAGCAAACGTAGCAGCAAGTAATTTTATGCGAATTGCAAAAATAATTTACGTAATAAATAAATTAGCTTTTAAGTGAATCAAGTTTAAGAAGCTAAGCTTTGAGCTTGAGGGAATATACAAATTTGCTCAACGTTTTACTTTACGTTTAACACTTTGTGATTAATTGTTAAAAGCTTTCTTCGCTCATGACATGTGTTCATACTCCCAATTTAATATTTTTTTTGTAACAGATGCCAGGCCTTAAAAAAGGACATACTAAAAACCGATTTGTTGTGCACCAAATTCGGTGTATTTAACCACTTTTTTTAACTACTACTTTTATAACTAAACTCTCACAATGGGCCGTATGCATAATTTCATAACTTTCACTCAAATTTACTTGAACAAATTGAGTAAAAGGTTTGAATATTTAAGAAAAAGCATTTGCTTAGGTTTTATGCATACGGCCCACGGAATTTTGCTGTTCCATGTCGCTACTTGAATATAGAAACTTAGCTACTTGAATATAGAAACGCCCTAAGTAATTTATTTATTATTTTTTCTTTTCAAAACCAGCTGTAAAGAAACTGAAATTTAGGTAGTTATTTTCTTTATTAAAGTAGCGATATAATGAATTTATATATTCCCCCACCCCAACATACATATGTACATAAATACGCTTCGCATTGAGCAGCAAAAGAGTCGTTAAAGATGTAACAAAAATCTTAAGCAAACTAATTTAATCGATAATGATGATTATTAAAACCGAGAACGAAATTAACAAAAGTCTAATACAAAATAATAAACTTATTATCTTTCACTTCGAAATCAGTTATTCTTTTTCTTTTTAAGGGCTTGGAACTAGTGAAAACTTTATCAGTTTTTGAACTTTTCGAAATTCAAAGTTCGAAAGCATTAAACACATATAATGGTTTCGCTTAAACTCCTTTTTAGGTACAACTCTTTTTGAGCTGAGTAAAAAACATAAATAGTACAGATACGAGGATTTTCTGTAATGGTACATAGATACATAAGGGCCATTCCAGCGAAGACGACACCTCAGGTGAAAAATAAATTACAAAAAGTGTGTTTTAATAGTAATCTTTAGAAATATATATTGGATGTCCCACCCGTCACAGCAAAATATGTACATATTTTTTTTAACGTAAAAAGCAAATTCTTAAGCTTCCCATTGTCCAAATGAGGTCCCCTTATTTAAAATATTATAAATATTCACATCAAGCCAGTAGCGTTCATTTTACTCACGAGCTAATATAGGTATTTTAAAATATTATAATGCCATTAAAGCACAAAATGGTACTTAACATTCTACTAACTATGTACATTCGAGAAAGCCGCTATGAACGAAATATTTCTATTTTTTCTAAAATTCGGAAACGACCCAACAACTCAAAGAAGCGGGTGTCATCGTTGTCCCACCCGTCACGCTTGGAAAATGTTAAATTTCTGTGTAAATTATAAATTTAAATTTTATACTTTGTCAGTTTCGTATTAAACCGGTTCAAGTGTTAACAGTTTGAAACTTGTCAAATCAATGGTTAAAGAGAATGTGCTTAAAGTTTTAAAATGTCCCATCCCTCACTTTGGGAATGCCCCATAAGTATAAATGTAGGCATCAACCGGTGCATCGGCGTAGCCAGAATGAAATTTAGGGGGGGCTCGACCCTATTAAGCTAGCATTTCAGGGTACTATTTTATATATATATAAGGAAATTTTGAAAGTTAGGGGGGAGGGGGCACCCCCAGCCCCTACCTGGCTACGCCCATGAACCGGTGGCTTAGTCTTTACATACGTACATTTGTACACACATGTAGTTCAAAATTAATCGCCCCTAGTGCGAGTGTCGGCTTGTAAGTAGTAGATAAACGACTGTTAGTCGATTATCGATTATCCGTGGTATTTTCGAAGTCGTTTTCTCGTTCATTAAGTGAGTGTGAATAGTTTATACTCGCTCATCCTTCTACAAACAGTTAAAGGAGGATGAGCGACTAAAAACTATTCAGTCGCTTGTTGAACTAGAAATAGACATTCACAATACCATGGAAAAGCGATAGTCGAATAATAGTCGTTTATCTACTACTAGTCGAAACTCGCAATAGGGGTGAATATCATTGTATCCGTGTCAGTAAGAAATAACAGCTTAAGTCGGAAGTCCAAACTAAAAGGAACGTTTTGATGGAATGCAATGGTATTCAGAAGACTGCTAGGATCAAAAATTGTAGTTGCCAATAGTTTTCGTAGGCGTACTCTACAAATGGCACATCATATTAAAGCCGCTAAACTTAAGCTGTTATTCCTTATTGGCAGATATTTTGATCTAAATACAAACAGGTACATACTTGTCAAGTTCCAAATATGAGGAACAAAAAATTATAATTTATTCATTTTTACTGTACAAAAAATTCATTATTGTAAAGTATTACAACTAGGTGGTTCAGACAATTTGCAAAAGCTCCTCGACAAATACAACATATACAAATAATCCAAATAAGTATATATTATGGTCAAGTATTTTCACTGGGCGATTGTCACAGAAGTAAACTTCGTTTTAAGCCTAAATCTACATAAACTTAAATCTATAAAAGAAACTTAAAATATTCAGCGTCTATTCCAGTATTTAATCCTTTTTAATACCATCATATTTTCTCGTAAATGCTTAGTTCGTCCAATAGTGCTACGTCTTCTTTGTGCAAACTTCTAAACCTCATTCACATGCTTTGTTTTCTTATGACGCGTTAATATATTCTTAGCGGCGTACTGTTTTGGACAAACCTCACAGCGATGTGGAAAGAATTTCATATGTAAATTAAGATGCGACTTAAGAGTTCCGAACGAGCATAATTTCTTCTGACAGACCTCACATTTAAAATACCATTTTTGTTTTTTATTACCACCGTCCGTACGGGGGATCTTCAACCATAAAGTATTCTGATAACTACGATAGAATCGTGTATACCAATTCGCACCTTCATCATAGAATCTTACGACCAAATTGATGCGCGTGTATCGCCCACATGGCGTGTTTAGCAATTTAATTTTTAATGCGTTTAATATCTGATGTTTTAAAAGCTCATCGGCG